CCCAATGTGCTCGCAAACGCAAGAGCTACCACATCAAACTTGCACTTCTTTGTCTGAGTGATTAATTGAATTTGGTAATGCTTTCTCCCCATGCTGACGGGCCGACAAAACATCCTGGCAGCAGCGTAAGCTCGCGTGTGACGCTACAAACCGCGTGACATTGTCGTTTCGTGACGTGACGTAGGGAGAATACTGGGTTATTGTGAGTGCTGACAAATTGTGCTGATGACAGATCGAGCGCGGTCAAGGGCTGAATGGCAAGATTCTAACTTTACCTCCCTTTTTCTCCTTTAATCTCCCAATTTTGTCTCACATATGCGATGCGCAGCCAACGATCAGGGGCGGATCTAATCTGGAGTTGTTTTTTAGGGGGGGGGGGGGCAACCGTTCGTCGCCAGCTGGCTGGTGTGGGATCCGAGGTTCAGTGCATGGTGCCTCTCGCGAGTACCTAGTAGAGACACCATTCAAAACTGAAAAAGGCACCGAAATGCTTTTGAATATTAAACAGAAGTTAAAACAAAACAACTAGAACAGTTAAAGTTAAAACAGACGGCAAGTAGGACGAAATTTTTATGAAGTTCTGGGAATGTTTTGGCGGGCAAAACATACTCTCAGAGGTTTTGGGGGTCATGACCCCGTGCCCCCCGCCCCCCCCCCCCCCCCCCAGGATCCGCCTATGCCGACGGTCATAGTAGTGCGGCATGGCAAAGTCTTGACCCGATTCTCATTTTTCCAGGATTCACCCCACACAGTCACCATGTGCGGTAACTATACGTGTTGGTAGTGCCAAACGCCATTCCGGGCAATTTTCCAACATTCCGCATCATTTTCTGAGATTGGCGGCAGACCGAACGCACCTTAGATCTCCCAAATGAAAGACCAGTGATCAGCCAACCATTTGACGCTATGCCAGCAACAGAAAGCTATTTATTTGTCACCGTCGGGCGGCAGGCAGACGGGGCGTGGCCGCCGGCGCCAGTGAGTGGTGTGGGCCTCGCAGGTCGGCGAGCGCCGCCGCTGGTCCGCCGGCGCCATTGAGCGGTGTGGGTCTCGCAGGTCGGCGAGCGCTGCCGCTGGTCCGCCGGCGCCAGTGAGCGGTGTGGGCCTCGCAGGTCGGCGAGCGCCGCCGCTGGTCCGCCGGCGCCATTGAGCGGTGTGGGCCTCGCAGGTCGGCGAGCGCTGCCGCTGGTCCGCCGGCGCCAGTGAGCGGTGTGGGCCTCGCAGGTCGGCGAGCGCCGCCGCTGGTCCGCCGGCGCCATTGAGCGGTGTGGGCCTCGCAGGTCGGCGAGCGCCGCCGCTGGCCCGCCGGCCGCCCGCCAGCCCACCGCTCGCTAACCACAAAGCCGTGTCGTGGTGCTGCCTTTCGTCACGCTGCCGGGCGCGGCCAGAGCGCCGCCGCTCGTATATTTTTACTACACGGCTCCACTCTCGACTCCATGAATACTAAATTGTTTCCGGATCTGCGCCGATTGGCGGCGGGTCGGTCGCAGGGGGAAGGGGTGATCAGGCCGGCCGGTTACGACCCTCGAACTGGCCGGCGGCCGGCTGGCGCTCCGCAGATAGCGATAGTCGTGGCTGGACGGTGGCGGCGGCGCTGCGCAGTGTGGGCATGGTGCGGTCTGGGCCACACTGGAAGGCCTGGCGGACCGGCGCTCTATTCCGCGCATGGACCTGGGTCAGAATGGGATTTAAGTTAGTGTTATTTCCTCAAAGCCTTTATGAGTACTTCAAAATTACACCGTAACATTTGTGTAGCACTTACATTGCACTATTACCTTATCACATTCTAACAGCTCATTTTTATCGGTAAAATATGTGATGCTGTAGTGCTATCTGACTGCTTATACGAACAGTATACATAACAGCCACGCCTGCCAGCTCAGGTGGTCCCGGAGGTGGCCTTGGCTCACCGGCGTATTGAGTGGCACTGTCGCCAGTGGAGGTGCTCTGGCCGGGACGGGCGGCGCGCCCCACGAGAGGCGTCATATCGGCTGTGTCCGGCCGTCTCTGGTCGCCGGCTGCCTTGTCTGCGGTCGCCACGTTTGACGATGTGCTCTCCGGACGGTGTCCATGCCTGATAAGGATGATGGCGGCGCGTAACTCGGCCGGCCCGCCCTGTGGGCTCGTCATCGCGTCTGTACCGGACGCGCCACGTCGCAGACCACCATCAAAGTATTTTGTCGTGTCGGAAGCTTCTGATCTCTGCCACCCAGGCGCCCCTCAGTACCAGCGAGCAACGGGACGCCTGAACCCTGAGCAGGAGGCGGTACCGATCGGTCGCGGTCAGTGTTTGTCACCAATCACATGCTCTGGCCTGGCGTCGAGCCGAACCAATCAGGCGTCAGTCTCATCTGCTGTCTCCACTGTCGTCAGGCGCTGTGGCTGTCGGCAGGCTGACGTGCCCGGTCGCAGGTCATAGCGTACCCATGCCGTAACTGACCTGCGCACGTTAACAGCACGCTACCGTGGCCATGCGGCAACGGATGTGCGCACGTTAACAGCACGCTAACGCGCTGACGGCGCATTGGCAGCGCGCACGCACGTCAGCACCAGCACGCTGAGCAACAGGAATTAAAATGTCGATCATCAGGCTCTAGCAAGTGAAGAGGGCCTCAACGCCAGCAGCGTCGATTCGGGGCCCTCGTCGCTGCCGCCCGCTCACATGTGCGTTCGTGCGAGGACAGGGACCGACTCGTCGGCGGAGCGTGCGCACGTGATGTGCAGATAACGGGGCCGCTGTCCTTGCTTCAGGCGCAGCGACTGCGATCGGGAGGGGGAGACGAACACGAGCTGGCGGCGTGTTACCACGCTTGTCCTGTATTCAATTTAACAAGAGCTCTATATCTAAACAAAGGTACACTGTGGGCTCGACACGGAAAAGTGCCCACCCTGTTTTTGGTCAGTGCGTGCCGAACTAGCCTCTTGTTAAGAAATAACAAATGCATAGATAAATTTTAAAAAATGCTTGACGAGAACTGCGAATGGACGGTGTCAAACAAACACACAGACCCATTTTGCGTCAGATCAATAAAAGAGCTGTGCCGCGTGACACCAATACAGAGCAGCGCGCCGGTCCGACTGCCTCCGATGGTGCGAGTGACGCCCCAGTCAAAGGGCGGCTCGGCTGGCTGTTGCCCCCGATGGTGCGGGTGACGCCCCAGTCCGAGGGTGGCGCTGCCTCCGATGGTGCGGGTGACGCTCTAGTCAGAGGGCGGCTCGGCCAGCTGCTGCCTCCGATGGTGCGGGTGACGCCCCAGTCCGAGGGCGGCGCTGCCTCCGATGGTGCGGGTGACGTCCCAGTCCGAGGGCGGCTCGGCTGGCCGCTGCCTCCGATGGTGCGGGTGACGCCCCAGTCCGAGGGCGGCTCGGCTGGCTGTTGCCTCCCACGCTGCCTGACGGGGCGAGGCTAGCTTCGGCACACATCGACCCCTCGCTGACATGGTGCCCATAGGCCGTGGCTTAACCAGAGCAGCGACGACGGCGAGGTGCCAACGTCCCAACAGTGGACTGAAGAGTTGCAACGGCGCTGATGGAAGCTATTCGGAGCCGCCATGCGTCGCTGGTCGATGTCGGGGGTGCCAAACAAAAGACGGCGGAGCGTAAACCATCGGCGCATTACTCACACTCCGGTGGCAGTCGGTTTATGAACGAATAAAACGCCTAATGGTCACATAGCATTCTAATCTGGGGACAGCCATACAGACGTTAGTATTAATATCCACATAAAAGTTGACATCAGCTGCGTGGAATGTTCCGTTATTTCGCTCCCAACAGCCCAACTTTGCAGGGTAAGACGACGGTGTTTTTGATGGCCCGTAAAGAGCAAGACGGCGTCCCATTAGGCCGAATTGATCTGGTTTCATTGCGACCACATTCTGACAGAAAACCTTGTCAGTAATGTTGCTTGGAATTACACCACGCGGTGTGAGTGTTAACATC